CCTTGTCAAATTTTCACTTAACAGCCGTTTAGTTGACGTTCGCATTGCGTGAATTATTTGTTAATTAAATTAACATCACGTTTACGCAATTCGACGAGTTGCATCATTAACGAATTCTGTGTTGCCCACAAATTTTCACTATCGAAAATGAAAGCTTTCTAACTGTTTGCCCAACAAAATGCCAGGGCAGGCCCCAAAACGTATTATTGTCGTTGTTGTTCTTGTATTGACCCCAACAATTAGCAAACTAATGTGATTTGTGTGTAGGGTACCAGCCCAGCCCTAAAAATGCGGCCCAGGTCCAGTTAGGATCGAATTGTAGTGCGAAGTTATTTCATTCGCTTCAAATTAGACACCTGTTACTTGTTTATTTCGCTGACGTTGATAAGGTGACAAAATGAAAGTTGCCAAAAATTAAAATTAATAATAATTATAGGGGGACTGCGTTGAAATTGGGTGTGCTGACAACAAGTGAGGTGCTGGCGATTACGGAATTCCGAAATTCATGAAATTAGCAGGCCAAGCACGTGTCGCAGCCAACGTTTATCAATTTCACTTTCAAGCCAAGATGCGACGGCCAATTAAAAAGGAATAGGGCACCCCCAAGATGTTGCTGACGATCTGTCAAAGGTAAACGCTGTCAGACATCCCCTTATGTTCATGCCACATGTCCAATTATCATGTTGCAAAGAGAGTGAGAGCCGACGAATCTAGCTGGCCCAGTCCCAGTGTCACCATAGACATTGCCATTGCCAATGCTGTGTCCATTGCCATTGCCATTGTCGTCCCCTGTCAGCTGCAATTATCCACATTTTGAGAAAACAAAAGCTGCCGCAGCAGCAGCCGCAGTAGCAGCCGCGGCCGCAGCGGATGGCTCATGATTTGTCTGCAAACGACAAGTGGCTAAAAGAAAAACCTTTGTCGCATTTCAATAATCGCATTGCCAATGCCTGCTGATGCGTTAGAAAGCAGTGAAATTTATGTGATCAGCCAACTGCGTCTTTAAGATTTGGCTGCAGCAACTTGTAATATATAGCCACGCACTTCTCCATACTGGCAACACGAAAGAATGCATCCAGTACAGGTTGCCCCACTATCCGAATACCGTGTGACATGCGTCTTGTGTGTAATTGTCATATTTAGGCTGATCGATATCGATAACTTATATCTGTGGTTGGTTCAAAGCATGAAGGGAAAGAGCCCAAACGGTTGTCAATTAATAATATTGTAAACTTCAAACAAATCCGCTTTTAAAATGATTTATCGATAAGTATGCATCTGTAACTCTGTTAAATGTAATTGATATATCGATACAAAGCAAAGAAATGTATCGATATTTCAATAAGCAAGCGATCACTATTTGAAAGATTGTCGAACCGTGTCGAGTAATAAAAAACCAACTTCCGTGTTTTATAATAACGATATCTCATCTATGGGGCTGATCTTAGTATGGGATAGAACCCAGAAGTACTCTAAATTTGCCTTTCGATACAACATTTCGTTGTCGATAACCGATATCATTCGACAAATCAACAAAAGATGCATTTACCAACTCGATAGAGAAACCTAGTTATACCCCTCTTATCCTTTGTATAGGGTGTAACTATTACTAGCGCCATTTTTTTTTATTTAGCACTGCGACTAATTAATTGGCGCGCTTGCCAGCAGCTCTGCAAAAGGCCAGACCGCTGCGCATTTAACGTTTTTAATTAGAAGAAGCCAGAGACAAAGACATCAGGTAACCGACAACGAGCAACTTTGGCCAACATTCAATGAGGAGCGAACGTCAGCTGGCTGCACTCGCTGACAAGGACAAGTCAACTTCATAGAGCCAGTTGCTAGCTGTCGGCCACTTGGCCTGCAGATCGCTTGCCATTGTCTGTGGCATTGGCGTTGGCGGCGCTGACAGGCTTCATATCCATCAGATCGTTTTGGATCAGGTTCGACTGATTACATGCCAGAGCCACGGCCTGGCCGACCTGTCTGTTTGTCCAGCTTTAATTGTGCGCGTAACTGAAGTCGATAAATATTTATCGATCGAGTCAAAATACGGCGTCGTTAATTTGTTACAGTTGTCAGTTAAGTTTTTCTAAACGAATTCTTTCTGCTCGCTTGCCACATTCATTTTGCTTTCTATACACGACGCATGCCACTCACTGGCCAGAAATTTTAATTATGCTTAATTAGTGTGGAATATTTAGTTACTGAGTTGAGTTGTCGTTTGCCGTTGGCAGCCTACATTGCACGGCCTACGTACCCATTTTATACGCCCTGTGCTTTAAGCAAATGCACACACTTGATACGAAAGACTTAAGACACAAACTTGTTTAAATTGTATGTCCAAGAAAAATGTTGCATACTTTTTAGCGCCATTTGTAAAAGGTTTTTAAATGGGGCTTTCAACAGAATGTGGCATACTTTTGGACCAACAAATACAGTTTTGGAAGCACTGACATTTTCGAAAAAAAAATATTTTGTACTTGCGGGTATACCCCATCCTTGCCAGTAGTACGTATAATATAAATTAATAAAAGTTTCACCTATGTCTATAAAGGATATTTGAGGGTACCACTTTTCATGAATTTCGACCATATATAATGTTGCCAGATTTAGATGCCAAATTGATCTAATCAATCTAATTAATCTAGAGGCCAAACCATGAGCATAAAACCAAAACTTGTGAAAATCTGATGAGATTTGGCTGAGTTATGGGGGTGGGAAATTTTGACCTATGTCTTTATATGAATCTTTGGGGTATGATTTTGACATGAATTTCGTCTAAAATTTACGTAGTCAAATTTGAATGCCAGATTAATCTAGAGTGAAAACTATGTACAAATAGCCAAACCTCTTGAATATCTGATGAGATTTGGCTGAGTTATAGGGGTGGGAAATTTTGGCCTATGCCTATATACGAACCTTTGGGGTATGATTTTGAATTGAATTTCGACTAGAATTTACGTAGTCAGATTTGAATGCCAGATTAATCTAGAGGGAAAACCATGAGGAAAAAGCCAAACCTCGTGAAAATCTGATGAGATTTGGCTGAGTTATAAGGCTGGGAATTTTTGGTCTATGTCTATATACGAATCTTAGGGGTATGATTTTGACATGAACTTCGACTAAAATTTAATCTAGAGGGAAAACCATGAAGAAAAAGCCAAACCTCGTGAAAATTTGATGAGATTTGGCTGAGTTATGGGGGTGGGACATTTTGACCTATGTCTTTATACGAATCTTAGGGGTATGATTTTGACATGAATTTCGGCTAAAATTTACGTAGTCAGATCTGAATGCCAGATTAATCTAGAGGGAAAACCATGAAGAAAAAGCCAAACCTCGTGAAAATCTGATGAGATTTGGCTGAGTTATGGGGGTGGGAAATGTTGACCTATGTCTTTATACGAATCTTAGGGGTATGATTTTGACATGAATTTTGACTAAAATTTACGTAGTCAGATTTGAATGCCAGATTAATCTAGAGGGAAAACCACGAAGAAAAAGCCAAACCTCGTGAAAATCTGATGAGATTTGGCTGAGTTATGGGGGTGGGAAATTTTGACCTATGTCTATATACGAATCTTAGGGGTATGATTTTGACATGAATTTCGACTAAAATTTACGTAGTCAGATTTGAATGCCAGATTAATCTAGAGGGAAAACTATGTACAAAAAGCCAAACCTCGTGAAAATCTGATGAGAATTGGCTGAATTATGGGGGTGGGAAATTTTGGCCTATGCCTATATACGAATATTTGGGGTATGATTTAGACATGAATTTCGCCTAAAATTTACGTAGTCAGATTTGAATGCCAGATTAATCTAGAGTGAAAACTATGTATAAATAGCCAAACCTCATGAAAACCATGAAGAAGAAGCCAAACCTCGTGAAAATCTGATGGGATTTGGCTGAGTTATGGGGCTGGGAAATTTTGGACTATGTCTATTTAGGATATTTGAGGGTAAGATTTTGACATGAATTTCGACTAAAATTTACGTAGTCAGATTTGAATGCCAGATTAATCTAGCGGGAAAACCATGAAGAAAAAGCCAAACCTCGTGAAAATCTGATGAGATTTGGCTGCGTTATGGGGCTGGGAAGTTTTGACCTATGTCTTTATACGAATCTTAGGGGTATGATTTTGACATGAATTTCGACTAAAATTTACGTAGTCAGATTTGAATGCCAGATTAATCTAGAGGGAAAACCATGAAGAAAAAGCCAAACCTCGTGAAAATCTGATGAGACTTGGCTGAGTTAGGGGGGTGGGAAATTTTGGCGCATGTCTTTATACGAATCTTAGGGGTATGATTTTGACATGAATTTCGAATAAAAATTATGTTGTAAAATCACTAATTTAGAAACTTTTTACCATGGACCGCTCAATAGAAATTATCTGAATAGTTTTTCATGTACATATCTCCGCCCGCACAGGCGCCTCTGACAAATCGTCGCTGAACGTAGCCAAAATTGAAATGTTTTTTTTGTTCGCACATGTTGGCTTTTTGGCGTACCTGAGGCTACCGTAGAAACAATAACACGAATGTGTACACACATGCAGTGCCATGACTTTGACTTCCATTTCAATGTTGGCGATAATGTCGATGATTAGGCAGCAAAACGTGAAGGCAGCGCACGCCCATTGTTGAGCCAGGTCCCAAAATGAAATCGCAGCGGTGGCAGCATGTCAAATTCCCAATTAATCACAGGCGCCCGAACTGGGAGCCGACTTTCTTCACACATCAATCACAAACGCAGCAGCTGTCAGGCAATGTTGCTAATTATTTCAGCTACCCGAAACAGCCTTCTTTTTGTCTACTTTTTTTTTATTATTAATTTTACATTTATAATAAATAATTTAAATAATTTATCAGTAATCGTCTTAAGCCTAGTTACAGCAAGCTAATTTAATTCTCTCGTACTTTTTAACTAGTTCCTCTAAAAGTAATTTATGTAAAGCTGCGCACCCGAAAAGTCGCTGACTAAAATTTTACACGGTGGTCGTTGGCCGAAGGTCAGAGCCGCTCAGCGAATCAGGAGGCTGCGCGCCGGATACTTTGTGGGCAGCAGCGACATCGGATCCGTATTGTTGGGCACCTCAGCCGTGTGCTGATCCTTATACTGTCCGGTGGGCTGGTAGGCACCGTAGGGATCGCTGCGGCTGGCCCAGCCGCCCTGCGTCTCATAGTTGTAGCTTTGGCCGGCCAACTGTGCCTGGGTCTGCGCGTTGCCGTGTATGTGTAAATGAATCTCCTTGCTGGGATGATGCGGTCCTGATGGGGATCCACTCAGGCCTGTCGGACCCCACGACTCCTTGGCATGTGGATTCCAGCCGGGATAGCTAAAGCTGGGCGTCGAGTGCTCATACTGCCCGAACAGGCTAGTCTTCAGTGTTAGGAATTTGCCCAGAATAGCAAGGGCGTTCATTACGACCAAAACCTTAAGCAGGAACAGGGACTTCATGCCAATGGCCACCAAAAACGCGACCATGGCGGAGAGTACGCCAAACTTAAAGATGATGGGAACCAAAGCCATTTGCAGACGACGAATCTTGCCAAAGGTGCGGCCCTCTGTAAGGAAAGAATCCAGAAAAGTTGAAAGAATCTGCATTGCCATGAAGTTCGTTGCCTAAGTCTTTTGTTTTTGCAATGCATAATTGAGGAAAACTGAGCTTCGGCTACCAACTCTTTGGTTTTTCAAGTGCCGAAAAGCCTAAAAACCTCAAAAATGTTTATTGAATTGGCATCGCAGCCAAATTAATCTTGCTTTTTTTTTTATCCGCTTATAGCGATAATTTCATCAACAAACAGAGCTGAACGCTTAGCAATGCGAAAGTCCATAAAAATAGGCGCCCGAAACTCAAAACTAATAATAAATATTTTCCCAGCATTTAAAGATGCGTGTGCGCTTTTTTTTTTTTCAAAATATAATAATTCGCGCGAGTCTAGAAAAAAGTGCCGAAAGTGAAATTACAACAGAGTGTTGTGCTATGAGAAACCCGGCCAAGCCGGACTCGTAGATCAACGCGAAGTCAACTGAAGCGAAGTCACAGAAAAAAAAATAAAAATTATGTCTGTGTGCCGAGCGTTAACACCTTTTAGGCATCTTTGTTGTTTGTCTTGTTTGTTTTTTATTTTATTTTTCTGTTGCTTCGCTTCAGTTGACTTCGCGTTGATCGTTCATTGAAAACGAAAGTGAGTGGAAATCAAAGTTGATTAGAGAATCAGACGCTAATCAGGCGCAATCATCGATGATTGAAAGGGCCGGCCGATTGCGTAAATGCAATCAACGCCACGCTAATTGCTGGGAAATATGGATCAGTTGCAGTCGCATATTACTCACCACCCACGGCAGCTGGCTTTTTATCGTCATCGTCATCATCGCCAAAGAGACTTTCACTGAGATCGCTGCGCAGCCAGCTCCAAAGTGTTCGCACCATGCCCCAAACGCTGAGATCTGTGGGATCAACAGCTGGCTTCAGTTCGTTCTTGTTGCCGGTTGTGGTGGCAGCTACTGCAGCTTCCTTATCTGCTGTTGACTGCTTCTCCGCCTCCGTCTCCGCCTCGGCCTCCTCATCATCATCATCATCATCCTCCCCATCGTTATCGTCATCGTCATCGTCAGCTTCCTCATCTTCTTTCTTCTCATCGTTGCCTTCGGCTGCCGCTGCTGGCTCGGCTTTGTCTGCATTGCCATTAGACGGCGGCTTTTCGACCTTCTTGCTTATTTTGGCGCCCAGCGCGCAGCTCAAACAGCACAAAGCCAACAGCAAAGCCAGCAATGAGCGCCGCGCACTTGAACTCTTTGTGAGAAACTGAAAGTACAAAGCGTATTAGAGAAATTGTTAAGAGTGTGTGTGTGAGTGTGTGTGTGTGTGTGTTGTGTGGCTGCATGAAAAGGCGCTTAAAACGCATTTCATCATACACGCATTCGCCATACGGAAATTGCGTAAACAAAAGACTTAGGCAGCGAACCTGCTCTCAAGTAACTTGTAACAGAGCAAACTCTGTGCACTGTAACAGGTGTTTTGGGCTGTGAAATGCTTTCCAGAATGCACTTACGAAAACCCAACGACATAAAATATTTTATGACCCATATTTTGTGCTTGCAGCAATTTCCATTTTGACGCAAGTCTTGCGCCTTTTATGTAATGCGCTTGCGGTCAAGCAACTTAGTTTGTTATTTTTTCCAAATTTGTGTCAACACATTCGTAGTAATAGGTGGTTTTTAAATTGTTGTTGCTGCTGTTTTTTTTTTTTTGCTGCCCAAATTGTGGGCAGCAATTTGTATGTTAATATTTGCACTATGCAAATTGGCAAAAGGGAAAAAAATTCCACATAAATCTCAAAAAATTTCGTATTATTGTTTCAGTTTTTGGGTGTGTTGCACAAAGTTTTGATCAGCGCCATAAAAGTGAAATTCGACCAGCAGCAGCATTAGGTAATCAGATAAGAACTGAACAATTATCATTATATATTTCCAAAGTTTCTATTACAACTTAAGAGATATTTAAATAGCCCTTCGGGGCCCGCCTAATTAGTTGTTCAGGCTGCATTTCCCACATATTTCCCAAGAACTGAAAGCATAGAGGCTTTCCCTTTTTAGCTTTTCAGAACCAATTATATTGCTATTGGCAAGCTGCCTGCACATAAATAGAAAATCTGTTGGAGATTTCTAATTGTGCTGGCCCCAAAAAATTCCCTGGAGCGTGGCCAAAAATTGTTCCGTTTACCATCACAAAAGTTCTGCGCAAATTATGTGGAACTAACGGTTGGCTTCATTCCATCCAAACAAATGGCTCAGCCAAAAGAATTAATCAAAACTGATTCCGAGACAGTTTAATTAGTTTTGGCCCCGCAAAGAATTCGCACGTCAAGTGGAATCCGTTGACTTGACATAATTTGTAACCTCTTTGTGTTATACAATAAGATTTATTTAAAGCGTTTCCACTTGTTGTTTATTTTCGCTGCTGTTGTTATTAAATCTTTTGTTTCTTTTCGTGGTCAAGTTTTGTCGGCCAAATTCTTGGAGATGAATTTCAAGTTGTAACTGTAAAGCGAAATCCGCCAGGTAGCCTTGATTTAACATAAGCTAATCCCACATATATTTAGATAACTGCAGTCGCAGCTTGTTTAGACAAAAAGAAAATCCGAAGAAAGGCTTTTACTATGATGCAAGAGACGTAGAAATTGGTATTCAATTTGCGCTTCTATTTAAATATATAAACACGAGCGATAAACAATACGGAAAAGGCGCATCAAATCAAATAAAACTTTATTTACATAAATATATTTGGACGGACCAAAGGTAGTTTTTCCAGCTTAGTTTCACTTTGTGTCTTTTTTTTAGACTGCACACAAATTTATCGCTGCAGCATATTTTAATTTACATCGCTTCTCGGTTCGATGTAACCGCATTAAAATTCACCAATAAACATCACAGGAGACCGGGTGAAATTTTTTTTTTGACTTGCTTATTTTGTATAATAAAAAAAACTTATTGTATATAAATACGTATTTAGCCAGCCAGCCAGAAAATTTCGCCAGAAGCATCTCGTTGAATTGGTGTTAAACAATTTTTTTGCTGAAATTATTTTACATTTAGCCAAAATTTTAGCACTCTCGAGTGCGATGATGACTCAAATTGGCTTGTTAAAATGGAAAGTGTTGAATATTGAAACCTTTCAATTGTTGCAAGAAGCCCTCGCAATATCTTGTGTAACACTCGATTGTTCTATTTACATTTAATGCGGCCAGCAATTTGCCTAACTATGGGAAAAGTCTAAAGTTAATTATAATGAATATATATATATTTTGCCATGGGCACATTTAAAATTTCCATGAATCACTGTCAGTTCTGTGACACAATAAACACAACAAAAAAAAACAAGTAAGAGGTTCTAGTCGGGCGCTCCCGACTAGGGGATACCCTGAACCCTCTTCTTCCAACAGGCGATAGGCGATAAAATGAAAGATACTTGATATATATATACTAATCTAGAAGCTACATGACAAGTTTGGTGATTTTAGCTCTTATTATTTACCAAAATTGATCAAAAAACAGGATGTCGATATCGATTTTTATCGATTACTTGGAAACGGGGCAAGTTATCGAATATCGGAAACATACTCGATCTGCGCATGGACTAGGAGGACCTACGGACGGACGGACAGACGGAAATCGACTCGGCTGTTGATGCTGATCAAGAATGTATATACTTTATGGGGTCGGAGATGCTTCCTTCTGCCTGTTACATACATTTGCACAAATACATTATACCCTTTTTACCCATTTTCAATGGGTTCAGGGTATAATTAACCTAATGAAGTCTTAATAATACAAATTAAACTGATTACACTTTTTGTGGGTGCGAATATGTTATATATGTATGTGTACTTTTGTGGGCAAGGCTGTTTAATTTCACGAATTTCCCCTTTTATGGGGTTCATTAAATTTTCTTTCTTTTTTTTTGGTTTATGTGCCTTAGAATATTTGCGTGGGCTTATAAACTAAGCAGCATTAGCTGAAGTCTTATGAATTTATGACGGCCACACGCCCAAAAAGCGGTCACATAAAATTATATAAAAATCCCCTCTAACTCAAGTGATCATAAAACATTGACAATAACAATAAAATTAATAATAAAACCAGCTTTGACAACGTTAGCAGCTGATGCAACGAAGGCGCGTGGCAACGCGACAACGGCAGATACATACATAAATGTAATTACAATTTACAAGTGTCGCATTATCTAATGGCAATAATGGATGTATGTAATGCGGCAGTTAAAGTCACAGTTCATGACACACAAACGAGCGAAAAAGCGTTTAATAATGGAGCACTTTGAGTTGCCTAGAGCTGGCCGGCAATAGAAAGTTAACACAGCCCAAAATCAACAAAGAAAAGATTATTGTAAACATGGGCCAGAATTGCGGACGCATTTTGTCAACATTGTTGGCCCTTTTGTCAGGAATTGAGAATTGAGGTGAGGCGGCCACGGCGGAGCGCGTGCCAGGCATGAGAATAGCCTCAGATCTCGAATCTTGTTTACTTACCAGCATGATGATCGGATTCGGGTAGCAGCTGCCTGGCAATTTCTCTGAATAATTTGCTGTTGTTATATATATTTTGTACGTATCCTTAATTATTTCATTGAACTCCGGCTGCGAATTAACTAACTGCAACGGCTTGAATGCTTCAACGACTTTCACGCAACAGAAACTCAAACACAGCACACACGCAAATTGTTAAGACTTGACTCTGGCTTAAACCCAAGAAGCCAAGCAGATGCGATTTCAAGTCGTATTGAATTTTTTCTTGACGCGACTGCAGCGCTTGAGATGTGCCCGTTGACTGCCACCTGGTCGCGGTCTCAGCCAGCAGGTAAAGTCTGCACTTGGACTTGGACTTGGAGCTGGAGTTGGACCAAGCGCAAATTTGCTCTCGACAGACCAGTCTCGGCTGTGGCCAGCGCTTCTGCTTTAACTCTCTCTCTCTCTTTCTCTCCTCTCTCTCTCAGTCACAATTTCGTTTTCAACACTTTCTTCACAATTTTCCCATAAACGGCGGCAGACAGAGACTCGCACCAAAAATGCCGACTCAATGCCGTCTCCAGCTCCTCAGCTCTTGTTGACTCTATTACGAATAGTCGTGCCATGGCCCAGAGCACAAAAAAACTGTTTTGCGAACGTGACAAAAACTCGCTGCTGCTGCTGACGTCACAACATCGTCACAACATCGGGGATCGACGTGTTTTGACCCACCCAGCGCCAAAGCCAAGCCAAGCCACCCAAGCCAAAAATCCAACACGACTCTCAACCCATTGCCCTGCTGCTCGAGTAAACGTTGCTCTCACGTTTCATGTATTTACATTGCAACATGTGTGGCACCAACAGAATATGGGGCATAATAACTATGTATCTGCTTTTGTCCATGATGACAATAAGATCTATAGAATGTCATGTGGAACATGCTTTAAACGAAATTTAAATATTACAAAAATGAACCGAGCTTCAAATACCCTTGAGATTTGCAAAACTTGGTTTGGGTTTCTTAGTATTCCAATCGTCTATTCCTATACGATATGCCCTTTTATATATATCTTGATAAATTCGAATGCACTTTGACATATATGCAAATTATATATTCCTAGTTTATTTATTTTACCTAGTCCGGGCTATCGAATACGGCATTCAAATAATCACAAATTATTTATTTATTTATTTACGTGATTCATTATTAAACAAAAAATAATAATATAATAACTAAAGGGAGAGAGAGTGCAAGCTTCTAAGGCCATCGACTTTAAATAACCACAAAAAAGAGCATCAAAAGTTCGACTTTGCATTTCTGTTTCTCTTGCGCATTTCTTGTTTTGTGTGTGTAACCCAATCATATTTGCCGGCTGCCTTTTACCCGCTCTTTTCTGCTTGTTTTGACCCATTTCTTCTCCAAGCCAACTGGCTCCCTCTCTCTCCCTCACTCGCTCTCCCTCCCTCTCTCTCCCTCCCTCTCTCTCTCCCCCCTCTCTCTCTATTTACCTCCCATTGAGCAGCCCATTCAGTTGGTTTCAAAGATCTTTTCTCCCACCAACTGCTTTGCATGATAAAAGTGCGTATTGATAAGCATATTTATACTAGAGCATATCGGTTTTTCTTTTATTCCCGAAACATAATTCCCATTGATGCCCATTCATAAAAACAGTTACAGTTATCTAGAACTTGGCTTAGTAGCTATACCTTTCCAAAAGGCATCGACAAATGTGGGTCAAAAGTCAATCAACTGCTGGCTGATGATTACCTCGAAATGCAGCTGTACTTGGATGTCAAGTTCATTGCTCGTCGCGTTGCCCAAATATTTGTCTTGGCCATTTTCTGCCCCTTACATAATGCAACCCAACTGGTAACTGGCAACTTGGCAGCAGTGTGTGAAATCCGTTAGGCACATGTGGCAATCGCAACGCACAGCCAGACCTAATGTCATGGCCAGCGGTGTGCCCAAGTCGCGATGTCAACGACATCGTCTGTGCGCCCAAGCCGGGGACTTGGTGCGGCTGCTCGAAATGTGTCAAAAGCCGTCAAAATTACCTTTTTTCACTCGTATTTCCTAACGGTCTTCACGCCTATGACATGACTCTAAGCTGGCTGGTTATCAAAATGACATCATTAGATTATAACATTTACATTTAAATGTTCTAACCGTGTAACAGTGTGCACCAAAATGACCGGAAAGTTTCTGATTTGCCTTTGGCATTCAACTTACATTGTTAGAAAATAACATAACACATATATTTTCGAAATTATTCAAAATTCATATAACGGACAAGCACTTCCGATCACATATTCTTGATCAGAAATTTACAAAAGCAAGAGCTTTAATCTTTGTTATAGTATATATTCCATACCCAGAAAATTTCATTATTACACTGATAAAAATGGATTTTGAGACATTTTAAACATGATTGATTTTGAAATGTTATACCTTTATCAATTCATACGAGTCCCTAGTATCGATTGGCAATCAATCGAATAACAAATCGGGGGGCTACATTAAAATATTTGACAAAAAATGGGTGCGGTCATGCCTGTGAAATCTTTTCAATGATTTTGTGGCATAGCTCGGCCAAATACTGTCCAATTTGGGAAAGATAAAATTCTAAAATTTGACAAAATTTGATGAAAATGCAAGAGTTTGCATCAAATTTTGAATTTCCTCTAATCCTACTCTATTAAATATTCCTCTCAGAATTGAAAAGGAATAAAAATTGTTCAGGCTAAAGCCATGCGCCTTGGTATATACACACTTGTAAACTCTATAATTATTCCCTGAAAATTTTTTAATGATCGTACTATAAGCTCCGTAGGAATTCATTTAATGCATTTGCCGTGTTTTGTGTGAGGCAAAGGAGAGAAGCACAGCCGATGCATCAAGGCTTCTAAAAACCAGATAAGCCAAACTTGATATACATATTAAGAATATATATAATTTTTTGATGAATTATTCCTCTCGGCATTGCAAAAATAGCAAATTACTAAAGATAAAGCCATGCGCTTTGTTATACTCACACTATTGAACCCCATATTTATTCCCTGAAAATGTGTTAATGATCGGACTTTAAGCTCCGAACGCAATCATCTATTGTGTATGTAATGCATTGTTTGGGGCAAGGGTGAGATGCATAGCCCATGCATGATCTGTGTGCTTATATATATTTATATAGAAGGAAGCTGGAATGTTTGTAAAGGCAGCTTATCACTGGATACAGGATATCTCCTAGTTGGACTCCCCAATAGAGCACACTCCTTTATACCTCAATAAATTGCTGCTACCTACTAAAATCAGCCCAAATCACAGTTAAAAAGCTCGTTAACATAAATCTATTTAACTTTTATTGAACAACTTAAAACTATTTGATAAGTTAAGAAACTATTTTTTACCCCAGTTATTTTGATAGACACTCGAATAGTAGCTCTGCCAGTTGGGTGTGCTCAGCGAGGCATATGGATTGTAGTTGTTGTTGTTGTAGTAAGTCGGATACAGATACTGTCCAATGACATAGGGCCAAATGCGTATCCGGACATCATTCAAATAAGTACTGGCCGTGGGATAGTAGTAGGGAGATGTTGTCGAATAATAATAACCATTCAGGCTGGAAAATGTGGGACTGGGCGTGTTATATGGATTGTATTGCGTGTAATACTGAGCGGCAGCCATCTGTAAAGTCAGCTAAAGTTTAGTTTTAAATAAAGTCAAGCTCGGTTTTATTAAACTTACCACAAAGAGGCAGCTAAGCAGCAGCAGCAGGCAACAGGATTTGTGGGCCATCGTATATATATATTGTTTAAGATATTATCACTATTAAATAAAACCCGCCTAGATAATTGGTTGGTTGTGGCCAGTTGTAGCTTAGCTTTTGTACTAACTGTGTGAAACTCGGCCCATTGCCATTTTATCAAATGTTAACCCGGCCAGCTGCAATTTCACGCACTGTCACCTGCCCTGTTTTTCTACTCTGGGCAGTTTTTCGCTCGATACCCTTTTTGTTTCGTCATTGAACTTGACTCATCCGGGTTGTCGCCTCGTCGGTGACTCCCATTCCCACAAAAAAATACAATCTAATGTTATTTCGATATTTTGTTTAATAGGTTCAAAACATTTTGTCACATCAAGCGCAATTGCGGATTCGGAACGAACATTTCATGGGCGCAGCTTAATTTCGATTTTGTTTTTGTTTTGTGTTTTCTATCCATTTGCTTACAAACAAGAAAATTATTTGTAAATTACCGCGGCCTCGGCTCGGGAATGCTGTTAGTTTGTGGCGGCCTTCTATTTACATTATTTACATACACGACACGGCGACATCGGCGTCGATTCTCGAAATTAGACTACATTCAATTGTACAAAAGGAAACTCAACAAAATCGTCAACAAATCTCTTAAATTAGTTAATTAACACGGACCGTGTTCCTCTCTCTCTCTCTCTCTTCATTCCTCTTCGAATCGTCCTCTTGCTCCATTTAATTTAATTAGTTGTTTGTCGCTGCTCAAAGACAATAAATATTAATTGATTTGCACTCAATAGTCCTCGTCGTCTTCGTCTGGCGGATCCGTTGCATACGTCAGCTCGTTCAGATAGAACCATTTCTACAAAAACGATCAAAAGATTTTAGAATAAATATCTATATTCTGATTAGGTTTGATTGAACTTTAACGCACCGGCGATTCTGTGCAGTTGAAATTGTAGTCCCAATCACATATTCTGTACTCCTGATTAAAGCTCGTCTCATTGGCGCACAAATGCGGTATTCGATTGCCCTCCTCGTCGCACATGTGAAATATCTGAAATCAAGAAATCATTAATTTCTATATTCCGTATTTGATCTTATAGCTTTCTCATAGTAGGTTGTATTCCATCGGGGCTTCTTTCTTTGTGTTGCATACTTTTAGGCGGGGTTGGTAAAAGCTTTCAAGCTCCAATCTCTCGTTCTTTCTCTTTCTCGCACAAGTGCTGCACTCACCTGACAATTGTACTCCATGTCCGCATAGAAGCCCACCGAACGCCGCTTACAATCGAATGAGAATGTTATATTATCTAAATTCGTCCATTCCTTCGTCTTGTGGTTCTGAAATACTGGACTGGCTGGCTCCTGAGCATCGGTGGCGGCCAGCAATAGCGGAGCTGCCATTCAATAATAATTAATAATAATAATAACTAGTAAGAGAGTCGAGAGCTCCCGACTAGGGGATACCCTAAACCCTCTTCTTCCAACAGGCGATAGGTACAAAATGAAAGATACTTGATATATATATACTATTCTAGAAGCTACATGTCAAGTTTGATGACTCTAGCTCATATTATTTACCCAATTTGCTCAAAAAACAGGATTTCGATATCGATTTCTTATCGACTATCGGAAACAAACTCGATCTGCGCTGGCACTAGGAAGACCTACAGCTATAATTTCAAGTCTCTAGCTCTTATAGGTACTGAGATCCTTGCGTTCATACATACGGACAGACAGACGGACAGACGGAAATCGACTCGGCTGTTGATCAAGAATATATATATGCTTCTTTCTGTCTGTTACATACATTTGCACAAATACATAATACCCTTTTTACCCATTTTCAATGGGTTCATGGTATAATAAAATGTAAGTCCATAGATCTCATTAAAGGGTATACATATTCCTACTAACGCCAACTTGTTGTGTGGAAATAGGTCAAAGCTTAAGGCTAAGAATTCAATTGGATTTTAGCTTCAGTAGTTACCTATCTACTAAAAGTGAAGTTTTAACTTCTTTTTAAAGACATACCGAAGAGTATTATAACTTTTTCCTGATATATGTGACTTGGATTATTATATCATTATATCTGGCATAGGAAATCGGAAATAGGAACAATCGATAAAAAGCTTCTTCGTTTTTTAGGATATTTTGACCAAGCTCGGCATTTATAATTATTTATTTATTTCTTTTTATTATTATGAAGCATTCCCTTTACTTCCCAAATATTAGAAAAATCTTATTTAATAGCAAAAACTACTAAGACGGAAAGTTTATCTGTTTTTCGAATTATCTTGAAATCTTATCGACACACATCTAAAACTCCTTTAGCCATTTGTCTGTAAGGGTATTCAATGTTCGGTATTCAATAAACTCCTTCTTTCGTTTTCTTACACTTATTTGAATACTTATTATGTGGCTCACGCGTGCCATCGATTCGGCCACAAAGTTATCGTCTAATCGACGCACTTGGCATTCAATTCTGCTGTCTCTCTCTTGTTATTGTTATTGGGGCCGCAGCAACTCACCTAGAAAAACGCCGGAAAGCCATAAAATTCTATAACTGTAAACCATTTTTGTGGAGCTGCACATTTTGGCCAGAGATTTTTGTTAGCTCGTTTGTTTTGGCTGCTTTCTTGCCAACACGCGCTGATGTCCAAAAACTGCACTGCGTCTGGCTTTCTCTCTCGCTCTCCTTCTCTCTGTCTCTCTCTCTCTCAGACACACACGCACAGAGTTTGCCGCGTGCTACGCGTCCATTTAGCTGGCAGCTTTTCAATTAGGAAGCGCGGCTTTTTTTTATGGCAGCAGGCACATGGCTAAAACGAAAAAGAAAAAAGCGAGAAAAAAATTAAACAAAATTCAAGTGGAAACGACATTTAATTGACGCCAAACACAGCGATTCATTAACTTAAATTACAAAATCATCAGCCGCAGCCTCCATATGTGGATCTCTTCATTTACAGAGGCGAGGCGAGTCGAAGCCGCGCGAGCTTCGGGCCTGAGTCATGCGCCGGATGCCGGCAGATTGAAGCTAATCAAATTTTAAACCCACTCGCACTTTGCGACTGACGTCAGATCAGGATATATATTATGATTATCTTGTTCTTCTATATCTCTATATCTCTCTCTATCTAGCCGCTGTCTTGACCCAGTTTCTGTGCGCAGTTCTAAGGCAAGGCACATCCAAAGCCATTTCATACGCATAACTTCGCATCAATCATTTGACAGCGACTGTCAAATTAACACAGCGCCAGCAAAGAGCAGGAAGAAGCAAAAAAAAAAGAATTAAACAAAACAAGCCAAACGCTCGAAATGCCATTAAAAAACAATAATTCAATGGCAGATCCAATCAGCAATAGAATTTATTTATGCAAATTGATTTATTTTTTTTCGATTTTATTTATTTGACTCTTTAATGTGACTGACAGCCGGCGCGTAAAAGAAAGAAACCATTTTAAAAGGCGACCTTGCTCACGATTTTTTTTTTGGGCTAACTCCAATTAACGTGTCAACGCGGCCTCCAAGTCGCAGCGACCCGGTTGAGCGATTAGCGGATCGCTGATTGCATTTTATTGTGCGGGCAGCAGCCTCTCTTTCTCTTCTGGGCAAATCCTTGACATTTTCTTGAAATTTATGGCTGCCGGCTGCCGTGGACAACACAACGATTAACATCGTCTTAAGTCTGGCGGCAGACAAATAATCGTAAATTGTTTCGCTCGCCTCCCTCGCATTTCCAACTAATTTTAAGGTACCGGGAACAGCCACAATCCCAGCTCCAGTCGAGGTTCCAGAGCCAACTTTTGTCTGCCACAAAATGAATGAATATGCAGATTTGTCTTTAGCTGCCGCTCGCTCAAGTGAAGGCGACGTTAAAGGTCAACCACAGCCAGGCAGACGAGCCGAACTATCCCAGCCAGGCAAGGGAGGGGCGCGGGGGCAGCAGCTGCGGCAACCAAAAACTCATTTTCAGGCAGCTGACAACAAAGAGGCGCCTCCAAGATGACACAGCACAGAGCCACTGTGTCCGTCCATTTGCAGCTTGTCTTTCACCTTTTCGTTGACCATGGCGCCTGCCCCCCCCCCCATACCCCCATCTTCCACCCGCCCAATTATGCCCCCCCCTCTGCCTGTTGCAACTATTGTCAGAGGCAAAGCTTTTAAGCGTGCGTCGAAATTTCAGCAAAAAATTGCGCGTCTTATTAAAGGTAGAGTATTCGAAAGAGCTGCATGAATATAAAATGCGACTTGTAACTGAAAAAACAGGCATATAGCACATGATGGAGCTATAGAATGGACACAGGAGGCAGGGGGTGGAGTGTAAAGGATAAAGGGGCTTAGGGCTAATGGAGGTAATAGGCAAAGCATTTCCTACGTTATAAGGTATATAAATATATAGCCTTATTTTCTGTCTATTCGTCTATCTGTATTTATAAAAGGCTCGATCTGAGAGACTTTAAAAGCTATATTAAGTATAGAAAGATATATAAATCCGTCTGTCTATACGTCTATCTATATTTATAAAAGAGTTGATCTAAGGATGAATTAAAGCTATATAAAGTATAGAAATATAAAACCAACTCCGTTTGTCTATCTGTATTTATAAAAGGGTCGACCTATGGACTATAAAAGCTATATAAAGTTAGAAATATACGTATATAATAATATATATATATATCTGTATCTGTATTTATAAATGGGTTGATCTAAGAGACCATAAAAGCTATATTAAGTATAGAAATATATAACCTACTCCGTTTGTCTATCTATATTTATAAACGTGTCGCTTTCTTCTTCCCACTAGAGTTGAAGATAACCTTAGACTATTTTGTTGTTCTTCTCCAAATTCCATTGAAAGAGCATTCAGGCTTCGGTGCCTCTAGCTTTTCTCTAGTTGTAGTTCGCTTGTCTTTAATGTGCAGCGGCGTCACTTTTGACATTTTCTGACAAGCGTGAGAAGCGCTTGGAAAAAAATACCTGCAGCCGAGTCTAACTCTGTGGTCTTTGTGGAGGGGGGGGGGGGGGGGGGGGGGGTGGGGGGAGACCCAGCCATGACTGGGCCATCAATTTGCTTGGCTGGTTGGCTGGTTGGCTGTTTGGCGAGCGCGGTTCTCAACTTACATAATATACGAGTAAAAAAATCCCAAAAAAAACCTCAAGCTGAGCCACACTTGGCCATTTGTTGTATCTGTGTGTGTATTTGTCTGCAAGGCCTTGTTTATTTCTTTCTGTGTGTGTGTTTGTTTTTTTTTTGCATTCCGAGCGCATGCGCGACATTTTTGGAAAGTTTGTTTTCGATATTGTTGTTTGTATTTTGTATTTTGTTTTTGTTTTTTTTGGTAGTTCGGAAGTTTGTTGGCGTCGATTTGCGAAATATCGCACTAATTTGTAAGCTTTTGACGCGTAACCGAGGGCGCAATGTTTGATGGCTTTTTTTTTTTGGCTGGCCCTATAATTTATGCAAATTGCAAATTATTTAATTTGTCGTAACACAACTGCAGCAACAGCAGCAACAGCAGCAACAGCTACAGTCCCACAATTTTCGTTGTTCATCAAAAGAAAATGGCATGCCGTTAGGCTCTGGCGACAACAACAACATAAGAAAAGCTAAGAGGAAAAGCCAGAGCTGAGAAATTTTTGGTCTGCCGGACGACGGCAGCGGAAGCGTCGCTAATTGGCGGAACTGCGCGCCGGCAACAATACACAGGTAAAAATAAAAGAGAGAAATGAAAGAAAAATGTTGAAACGCCAGATGACGACACTTGAGACGACTTATGGCCGCCGCCCGTTATCGTACAGCACTTACATAAGTGCAAACATGGCTTAATCATCTCACTCCAAGACTCCCCCTCCTCCCCAGCTCAATTGATTAGGCCAAAGATGGGGCTGCGCCGCGGCCGGAGCTGCAGCTGGCGACGCAGTTGACACTTGGACTTTTGCACACATATTTCAACGCTATTAAAGCGACAACAACAACAACAACAACAACAGCTGAAATTTCATTTAATTGATCAACAGCAAGAAAACTTGTTAGCTGGACCAGCTTGACCAGCCCGACTGACTGTCCCCCTGTCCCCCTGTCCCCCACCCCTCGATTATTGGCCTTGAAAAAACGGTACGCAGAAATGCGCTTAATACGAAAAATCAATATCGAAAACACACACACACGCACACACACACGCACACACACACAGGCAAACCGGGCAGCAAATCAGTTAAATGAGAAAAAGAAAAAAGTTAATCGCGCGCAAAAAAAATAAAGGAAACAATCAACAGTGCTCTAGTCGGGCAAGCCAGACTAGCAGATACCCTATACCCAGACAGTGCAAACATTCGAATATCTTTCTATAGATACACACACTCACACACACATATACCTTATGCTTCTTCTTCCCCGGACCCCTTCGCTTTGTCTGATCAATGTATTCTTCATTAACTTTGTTGTTTATAGCCCGATCTTTATGAAATCCTCAGGGCTTTAATATGGCATTGAACTGTGTGTATATGCAAAAGCAGAAGGCTTTATCTTTTAATATAAACAACTTTGATCTAGTTTGTGGAAAATGGGGAAGGTTTCCTGAAGATATATGTATACATTTTGGCATAAGATATTTGTCATAAAATACATGCCAAGTTTGATTTATCCAGCTCTTATAATTTTCAAGTTATGCCTAATGAACCAGTTCTCAAAATCAAGTCTTATAGATATTATGATAATGTGAGAAATTATCGAAAAAAGTATGTATACTACTATATTTGAAATCTCAAGTCTAGAGCGACAAATAGAGACAGATAGATGGACAGGACACAGCTGGATCGACTCAGCTAAGGATCAAGATTGTATATGTACTTTATGCTTTCTTCTTCCTATTACACACACCTGCCGAAAAACATGATACCCTCTTTACGCATTTTCAATGGCTTCAGGGTATACAAAAGTTGATCGCTCGCCCAAAAACAAGAGTAAAAAAAAAAACAAAAACCTGCTCCAAGTCGAACTCAGACTAGATGACAGTAAAAAGTATATTTAAAATGAAACAGCTACACCAAAGCGCGCTAATAAAACATAAATTAAAAAAAAACAAAAATATATGCGAGATCTTGAACAAATAAATAAAATGAATATTGGCAATTGGAAACCGCCGCGAGCATCTTTCTGTTGGCGTGACAAAATTAACTGATTGTTAGATTTGTTTCACAGTTGACACACGCAATTAATATTAAATTAAAACCGAAACGAAAATATATCATAAAAATTTTTGGTTTCAGTTTCCTAATGAAATCATTAATCAAAATTAAATGTGCAAATTTCAATTTCAAATAAAGAAATTCGCCAAAACAAAGTTGTTAAACAAGCAAAGAGCAGGGTTAACTTCAACCTTGGTCAATAAGTTGTTGAGAAATAACAAGTTAATTGCACTTAAATAAATATAAACAAAATCATTTCGTTAACAAGCGGATATCATGGGATTACATTCAGATTGTCTTTGTCAAACAACAGAGGCACGTTTTGAAGACTTAACAAATGTCACTTCCGCTGGTTTTTGTTTATTTATTAATTTTTATTAATTTGCGTTTTTTTTTTGTTAACATTTAGAGCTTGTCAGCTTGAAAGGCCGCCACAAAACTAATAATTCATTAAGATTCCATTAAACGCAGCCACATCAAGCATCAATCGATCCAACGATTCAACGATCCATCGATCGATTGACTTAAATGCCATCAGCTCGGCAAAGACAAAGACAACAAAGCGATTCGGCTACCGATGCCAAACAATCCTCCGATCAGCAGCTGGAGAAGCTCGCGGTCTGCGGACAATACGACATTAACATATCGGCTGGCCAGCTTTTTGTGTCTGTTTCAAATATTCGAATATTCGTTACAAGGGCAACAAATACAACGAGCAGAAGTTCAGTTATCTGGGCAGATGCTCATCACAAGGCATACACATACTATATATAAGACTTTATATATAGCTAGATTTGATTACCATTACCTTGCACAATTCGCTACGGTAACAGCCCATTGAAGGTGCTTTGATTGATCGCCTTGATTATTGCTGCCTCCTTTAAAAACAACAAACAAAAAACAAACAAATCAAATAAAAACAGAAATACAACCAAAACCAAACCCAAAATCAAAAACTAAAACTCATGCGAATTCGGCCAACTGCAAACGGCCAACATTGGCGATTAGGCAGCCCGATCAACAGTTGATCGCACATTTAACGCAATTTTGATACCCTGTAATTGAAAGCATTTTCGGCTCAGTTAAAGATACGTGCGCTTCTTCAAGGGAGGCGCCCTAACTTGATATATTTAAATAAATAAAAAATTCATTGGAAGCGAAATATTAAATTGAATTGTTTTCAACTTTTTATTTTAACAAACCCGGATCTCGAGCCAGCCAACAAAATATTTAAAAAAAATGTGCATATATCAAGTAAGGCCCCTTTTTCCCGATATCGATAAATATCGATTAACAGCAGCTGCTTTTTCTTAGCAACTTCTCTCTTAGTTTAGTAAAACAATTGCCAGCCAATTAGCTCGTAGGCTACCTTCAGCCGTTCCCCCTGCTCTTTTCCACAGCAAATAAAATATTATATAAATAATAATTAATGAAAATCCAAACGTAATTAATACAAGTATCGATTGCTTATTGTCGCTTGGCGACATACCAAGATGATTTTGGAACCGGCTGGCATCCCGGTTTGCAAATGTTAGCCGAGTTCAAGGCTCGCCACGTGGCGTATACGTGATGTGCCGGCCAACTGGCCAAATGCCTGGCTAACTTCTCACACAATTAAGCAGCAGCAACAGCAGCAACAACAATTGCAACATTAACTAACTAACTGCTTTGTAATGTGGCAGCAATAAATTTTATGTAAATCGTTTTTGCTCCAAGCTGTGCTTTTTGTTTTTTCTACTATTTCTCTTTTTATTGCGGCTAAAGAAGAAAACGGTGCACGGTTAAACAATGCAAATGAATTACACACACAACATTGTAAAAGCCCGCAACGCCAGCGGGCCAAATGATGTGCAAGCAATCGCAGCCACACTCACACACACACACACACACACACACACATGCGAGCGACACGAGCATTTCAGCTAGCCGAGCTCGGCTTGGCTTCCAAGATTTTCCAAGAATGTGCTGCCAGCCAAGCTGAGCGGGTGGCTCTGCAATGCTAGTCAAGTGTCTTTTCACACACACACACACAACACACACACACACACACACAGCATTTACGACAACAAGTTTTTGTCGCTGGCACTTTTCAAATTTATCGATTGCAGCAATCGATGCAAACTTTGTATTCATGAATAAAATATCTCGAAACTCATATAATGGCATTTAATAGATTTCAATTTTAAGCTGACCAAAGCTAGATATAATCATAATTATTTTCAGTTATTTTAAGACAACTTTTGAGCCCTTCCAGGCACATGTTCCCAAACTAAAACTGATTAAACTGGAAATATGCCACATTTTGCAATCAATATAATCTGGTTGGGAGTGTTATATATAGACATATATTATATATATTATTTATAAGCATGAAATGTGTAAATTTAGATATATATATAATATATATTAATCAGTATCAGCCCAGTCTATATAGCTGGAGAACTGTCCGTCTGCATATCTCCATATGCAAACTTGTCGCTCAGTTTTAAAGCTTCAACTTTGCATAGATTCCTTTTTGGTATTGGATACTCCCTAGGTATTTAAAAGTTCTAACCTCATTATATCCCATATATCAACTTCAGACTTCACAATTCCCATATATTTCCATATAACAACTTCAGACTTCACAATTCCCATACATATCTGTCAATCTGCAAGCTATTTGTCAGTTATTTACTTCTTTTCTTCAGCTAAATCATTTTATTGCAGTAATTCAATCTCATATTTTGGTTTTTAATAAGCTGCCCGTTTTAAGCGGCTTAAGTCTAGAATTTAATTCAATTTAAGCATTTCCAGGAATGGCATTTCTAGTCTGGACTTGAAACCCGATCAGAAAAAATCCAATCGGAAAACATTTTGTTGACTGAGCTGCGCGCATGTCGAGCTTTGCTCAGCTCTATTTCTGTCCAGACTGGCAGCTGCTCAATCTTGGCCCAATCCGGCAGCTCAATTGGCAAGTGCCTGACCAGGCAGAGGCCCATTTGGTCGTCGTCAAATTAAGGCCAATGCTTTCTCGCTGTTGGCTGTTGGCTGTTGGCCTCGTCTTCTGCCATTTGCGATTAGGCATTGAATATGTTAATGGCCAGACCAGACCAGCAGCAGCAGCAGCAGCAGCAGCATCGATACATCATTAAGCGCGACAATTATTGCATAACAGGCCATCAAATGTGGAGCACGCATTGTATAAGAGCTGCAGCTCGATCCGAAGCTGGAGCTGGATGCAACTGGAGCAGAAGAGGATGATGAACAATTTATTTTACCTACCATTGAGGGCCAAACAACAAGCTGATATCCAACTGAGACTCTCCCTCTCCCTCTCTCTTTCACTCTCTCTGTGTGTGCGCACTTTGGCCAAAATTCAAGGCATTTGCATTTGGCTTAAACAGCGTGCGATCTGTTGTGATATATATATTTAACACAATTGCGTTTTATGTAATAAGCTTTTCGGTTTCGGTTTCGGTTTCGGTTTTTTTTGCACTGGAAAAACTATTTGCTGCTCTTGCTGCTGTTGGCGTTATTTCGCCACCAACAACATTTTTTTTATTTTATAAATATTGCTCTTTCTTCACACGCACAGCAGTTTACACTCAAAGCTCACACACACACACACACACACACAGTCGAGCGCGCGCGCGCGGGTCTCGCGTATCCGTCAGATACAAAGATACAAAGATACAAAAAGACAAAGCAACAACCGTTCGCTGGGGCGCACGTCGCACGAATAAAAGGCACAGCCAAGCCAAACAAAAAACACTTGACGGCAACGGCAAATTTAACTTTAGCTTTGACTTTGCAAACACAAACAAACGCAAACAAAGCCACGAAAAAACCCAATTGTAAAATTGTAAGAAAATTTATTTATAATTTCTTGCTGCGCTTCGTTAACGAACTTCTTTTGGCCAAATGCATTTGTATCTCTCGGGCTACGAATTGGCACTGCGATTGCGGCAAAGTCTGCGCTCAACTGGTTCGTCGGCCGCCGCTCAAATTGGTTTTATACGCAGTCCCAACTCGGATTCCGATTCCGATTCGGATTCGACTCAGCCTCCCATCTGCAGCTCCAGCTGGCTTCGGCTTCGGCCCCAAAGAGCCAAACAAGCTTGGCACATTGAGGTAGGTTGGTGAATGAATCTGCAGACGGTGCTGCCAACTTGACCCATTGTTGAGCAAAAGACACACGAAAAAAAACAAGCGCAAATTTTAAATCTCATTCATAAAGTTGAAGCTGCCGACTTATGTACAAGTACACTTGGCGAAAGAGTCCGCCGATTTATGCTCAAATCAAAGGTTGACTTTATCTGGTTCAGTTCTCAAAATGGGAGGCATTTCTTTAAGAGCGAATCTCCTAAGTTCAACACTCAAAAATAGTACTCAAACTAGGAAATATTTAACTTTAATTGTGAACTTTTATGATTAATTTCCAGAGCTGCAAAGCTTCAAATAAAATTCTTGCTGCTTCGGTTCTCAATTAGAAGCGACTCCCTGGCTTTTGGTTCTTTTCGCGAACCTGCTTTTAAGCCCTGACTGTGATTTACTCGAGCTTCTTCTTGGTTATCCGAATTTTAATAAAACAATTCAGTTTTCTAATTACATATTGCAAGCCATAAACATTATCACACACAAAATGCGGGCTAAATTTGAACTTCACTTCACAAAATTGGCGTCAACCAAATGTGGTTGATTTAATGCCATGGTTGGTGCCAAAGTTATTTGTACTTTGGAACTAGTTCACCCTCAAAAAGTTGCTATTTTTTAGCCAATAAACAATTTTGAATTTCAACTTCGGTGGATTTTTGACAACTGGTTTAATTCTGGTTTGATTAAAAGTAAAAATAAATTGGTATAACCGACTCGAACCGGTTCAATTGAAAACTGCCTGTGCTTGTTCCTTTTAAATCGAAAATCTTCTATATGCAAGATACAAATACGATCTCAGTTCAATTCGAATGGTTTAGTATGCTAATTCTCACCACAAGTATTTTTTACTCTATCGAAGCCTTTTTCTCTCATGATTGATTAATGTTGAATTTTTTAAATATTTGAGAGCCAGAATTACATGAATTCGACAACAGATATTTCTTCTTTTTTTTGTGATTAAAATATTAATTTATATTTGTTGTTTTTCGGGTATCAAAACATTTTGACTTAAAGAAAACACTTCTAATTTTTAAGGTATTTTAAAATCTAAATTTATATAGTTAAAGAAATGTATTGTATATTATACGGGAGCTTATATCCATTTGGTGGGAAGGGCGGAAATCTATCCCAGTTTTGCTTGAACTGAGCGTTACGTTTTTTTTGATTTGATTATAAAGCAAAGACTGGCTGACTCCAAGCTGAATATTGTGAACTTTTTAAGTTAAGGTAAGGTGTCGAATATGAGATATTGATATTAATTAATTTAACCAAATATAAATTTCTTAAATGCACAAGGAACATGAGTTTGATTTGCCTCGCTGATTTGTCGCTTCCTACAGAGTTGAGAGATTAAATCTTTTGTGGGGGTATTCGATTAAAAAAAAAGCACCCCGCAAATAGACGCAACTATACTCGCATTATGTTGCTATGTTAGCTGACCAGTTTTTAGAGCCTTATTTGCCGCATTCAACGCTTGTTTAATTAACATAATTAAATATAAATGCGAGCAAAAGCCGCAATTTACATAAGAACAACTTTTGAATTTGGCCAAAAATAAAAGCAATAACAAGCAACAAATGTTGACTGTTCGTTGAATCGACATCAAGTTCATCATCAACAAAAACACGTCAATGGGCTGTGGATTTTTTGGGGTCTGGGGACTGGCCCGTACACCCGCTCAACTGGTTGGACGCGGCTCTGATCTCTAGTCATAAGATCTGTTCATTTGAATGCCAAAGGCATCGCTGCGCTCTTTTCACATTTTGGCTTCTCGTGTGTGTGGCACTAAAAGGCTATTTATGATGAGCGCAGAAATTAACAATTTATGACCACAGCTGACGGCGAGGCACACGAAAAAATGAATAACAGCAGCAGCAGCCGAAGCAGTCGCAGTCGCAGTCGCAGTCGCAGTCGCAGTCGCAGTTGGCAGTAGCCAACGGCCGAAACTTAAATGTCAAACTAATTTAAACAAGACGCTCCATAAAAAAACTGGATTAATTAAGCTGGCAGCCGTCGTGCTGACGTGTTGCGATCTATCTGCCAAGCCAGATCTAATGAAGGGAGTCCATTGATATATACTTTTTTGATGGATTGGCCAATTGACTGATTGCCCGATTGTCTGTTTTGTTTGGCTCCAAATTGTAATTTTGCTGCGACAATTGCTTACATAATTAATTCAAATATATATCGCATTTTAATTAACATGCGCCGTGCAACGGGGCGTATGCGCAATCTCTTGTCTTGTCTTATTACACTTATTCAATTAACTCGAGTTTGTCTGTCTCTCTCTCTCTCTCTCTCTCTCTCTTTAGCCTGGCAAAAGGAAAGGTGTTGACCTTGTCTGACACGCACCGTCACACACACACACACACACACACACTCGCGACTGGTTCACCTTACAAAAATTTCGACTTGCATTTGGCTGAGGCGAAGAGCCCTTCACAAGAATTTTAATGCTTGAACAAAAGTGAAAGCCTCGTGTCTCTCTCTCTCTCTCTCTCTCTCACGCGCTCCCTCCCTCCACCCCTTCCCTCTTGGCCAGCTCCTAAATTATTCCTGGCCAAGTTTCAAGTTCAAGGCCATCTTTTTTTTGGTCATTGGTATTTTGAGCTGTTCGCTTGAATCTGTTGGCATTTACTTTCATTTGGCTCATATATCAGCTGATTGTTATTGTTATTTTATTTGTTGTTGTTGTTGCAACACTTGTGCACACAAATTATGTCCATAATTACGCGCTTGTTAATCGATTTTTAAGTTGTTCCCCCAAACTCTTGGTTATACAACAAATTTTTAACACCTTGCGCGAACAATTGAAATTGCTTTTGTTGATATTATTGCTGTTATACCATTTGAAATGTGTAACAGCGGGTATTATGGTTTTAGGCTAAGGTATGTATATATGTAGGGATTTGATTTGACCGAGCTAGTGGTTATGTATTTTGACCTATACGAATTTTAGGGGTAAGATTTTGACATGCATTTTGACTATAAATTATGGCTATGTACAAAAACCCAAACCTCGTAAAAATCTGATGAGATTTGACCGAGTTATGGGGCTGGGAAATTTTGACCTATGTCTATATACGAATCCTAGGGGTATGATTTGGACAAGAATTTCGACTAAAATTTACGTACCCAGATTTGAATGCCAGATTAATCTAGAGGGAAAACCATGAAGAAAAAGCCAAACCTCGTAAAAATCTGACGAGATTTGGCTGAGTTATGGGGGTGGGAAATTTTGGCCTATGTCTGTATACGAATCCTAGGGGTATGATTTGGACATGAATTTCGACTAAAATGTACGTAGTCAGATTTGAATGCCAGATTAATCTGGAGGGAAAACTATGTACAAAAAGCCAAACCTCATGAAAATCTGATGAGATTTGACCGAGTAATGGGGCTGGGAAATTTTGACCTCTCTCTATATACGAATGTTAGTGGTATGATTTCGACATGAATTTCGACTAAAATTTACGTACCCAGATTTGAATGCCAGATTAATCTAGAGGGAAAACCATGAAGAAAAAGCCAAGCCTCTCGAAAATCTGATGAGATTTGGCTGAGTTATGGGGGTGGGAAATTTTTGCCTATGTCTATATTCGAATCCTAGGGGTATGATTTGGACATGAATTTCGACTAAAATTTTCGTGGTCAGATTTGAATGCCAGATTAATCTAGAAGGAAAACCATGAAGAAAAATCCAAACCTCGTGAAAATCTGATGAGATTTGGCTGAGTTATGGGGGTGGGAAATTTCGGCCTATGTCTATATACGAATCCTAGGGGTATGATTTGGACATGAATTTCGACTAAAATTTACGTAGTCAGATTTGAATGCCAGATTAATCTAGAGGGAAAACCATGAAGAAAAAGCCAAACCTCGTGACAATCTGATGAGATTTGGCTGAGTTATTGGGGTGGGAAATTTCGGCCTATGTCTATATACGAATCCTAGGGGTATGATTTGGACATGAATTTCGACTAAAATTTACGTACCCAGATTTGAATGCCAGATTAATCTAGAGGGAAACCCATGAAGAAAAAGCCAAACCTCGTGAAAATCTGATGAGATTTGGCTGAGTTATGGGGGTGGGAAATTTCGGCCTATGTCTATATACGAATCCTAGGGGTATGATTTGGACATGAATTTCGACTAAAATTTACGTACCCAGATTTGAATGCCAGATTAATCTAGAGGGAAACCCATGAAGAAAAAGCCAAACCTCGTAAAAATCTGACGAGATTTGGCTGAGTTATGGGGGTGGGAAATTTTGGCCTATGTCTGTATACGAATCCTAGGGGTATGATTTGGACA